GGGGGGGGGACCAGGCCAGAGCTGCCAATCACACCTCCATCCACTTTAGGCACATGTACACATCACTCAGGAATGACCCATATGAGGGTCTGGCACTGCCACGCTATGGTTATCCCTTTTGAGAGCGAGAGGGACGCTAACACTGTTTACCCTCTACTGAGTCAGAAATAACATCACCTTGGTTTCAAGAGCACCACACGCATGCAGGCAGCCTCACCTTTAAAACATTTCCCTATAATTTGCAAGTATCACTGGCAGTAGCAAGACTCTGCCTCCTTTGTGCTCTGCCAGTACGGTCTCCGCTCCAAGTTAACCACCTCTGCTTAACTTGGGTTAATTCATCTTCCAAAGCCCAGTCCGTAAGAGCCAGCTATTAGGAGGTACAAACCCCTTGGTTGTATTATGCGGCTTCTTCCCTCACACACAGATTTGAGCTCTCACAGTGAAAGCCACATCCATTTCCAAAGGCAGCCCCACCATCGGGAGGGGCAGGCAGGGTGAGCAAGGGGTGACAGGTCTCACTCACGGCACCACTGGCCAAACGAGTCGTGGAAAAAACAGCCTTGTCTATCTGACATCCGCAAAAGATAGAGAAAGCAGTCGAAAGAAAGAAAGAAAGAGACAAGAGAGGGAGAATGGAACCAGGAAGAAAATTAAAAGCCTGTCGTCCTTCTTAGGCAGCTACAAGGAATATCAAAGAGGAAGCTAGACTGGTGGATTACTGCTGGGAATGTCTTCTAGGCATCCTCCGACCTGTCTCTAACCCCACATGGTTGTCTCTGCTCCCTCCCTTATTGCTGGCTCTAAGGCTTTGCTCAGCTAGTGAAAGGGTTAAGTTTAATTTATACTGATTTCTATTTAATATCATTCTCTCCCCGTAGGAGCCGGCAGCTGTGAGCTGATTGTACTCTCTCATTATGCAGTCTGTATCACTAATGGCCTGTGACAAAGGCATGCCATCTTCCAGGCCTTACCCCCGAGAGCCAATTAAACACACATACTCCCTTCCTGTTTGCAGCGCATTACAATGAAATTAAACTGAATTTCAAAATCATTTTCTCCTAAAGACATCTCTTTGCAATAATTAATGCATGCTATTCCTTTGCATCTGAAATATTCATCAGGAGTCTTGACTAAAAAATTTTTAAAGCTGATTGCCCTGCACATGGCACTGTCTACTGACGCTCGAGTCCCAAACCGTGGTACCGGTGTGGGATCAGCACCAGCGGCGACACTCCTAGCAGGGCAGCTCTCATCTGATTCAGAACAACAATAATAATAAATCGCAGCTTCCTCCTAAATTGTCAATAAATAAGGTGATTACAAGGAGGGCATCAGAAATCCAGCCCAGTGCTCCTGACTTGATGGCACTGCTGACACATAATAAAGAGGGAAATGGAAAAGTCAGAGCTGCTTATGTGTTAAGGTTAGGCACAAATTAGAAATCCCACCCTTCTGCACTCCCAAGATTAACAGGCGGTTGGGCTCAGTACAGACAGACAAATACGCTGCGCGTGTTTATCCCACTATCCAAACAGCTCACTGCCGGTGGCAGAGGTAACAGGAAGACGGGCAGTCAGAGATACTAACCGACTGCTTGAACGTTCAGGACAGAGTTGGCAAAGCTATCTTGTGGCACTGCTCACTCACGCTTCGGGTGGGCCCAGGGCTATTTTATTATTTAATCTACATTGCAGAACCGTCCTGGGGGACAGGAACCTCTGACCGGGGAGGCCGAGCTCTGGCTCTCACGCTCTGTGCTATACACAGAGCGGGAGGCCTAATTTGAAGCACATAACTTATTCATGGACTGTCACGTCTATTCCATTTGGGAAAAGCCTCCAGCCTAGTATCCTCTTGAATTTGTTACCCCACGTTATTGGCAAGATTGGCCTTAAGAGGTCTGTTCTGAGAATTTACCATCCCGACCACAGCAGTTTCAGGTAGGGCTAGTTTTGATTGCGTTCACTGTTATCAGAGCTGGATTAAAACAGGATTTTTTTTTCCTGTGTGCAAACATTTGACAAAAAAATCTGCCAAGGCAGACATGCGACCCAGCTGCAACAGGTATTAGTGCTACTGCATCTTCTGGTGGAAGCTCGAGCAAAAGAACCAAATACAACAGTATCGCACCCCTAAAACATTTGATATTTCAAAAACATTTCCCACCTTCAATCAAAAGGGAAAGGCAAATCTTGAGACTTTTCAATATATGAAAACTCAGAAAAAGAAGCATTTCCTTTGCATTTCAATATGTATCATGTAAAAACAAAAAGAGCTTAAGTTTCAAAACAAAAAGGTCTCTCTATTCGGAAGACTCGCAGTTTTTACTTTTAAAAATATCAAAAAGAAACATCCTAGCAATTTCAAAGCCTTCTTCCCAAAGCGCTCCCAAATTGAAGACACCAGCTGTGATCTTTCCCCAGAAAGTTCAGCTGCCAGTGAAGCAACGTTTTCTGACTGCAAAACGAAGGTTCCTTGAAAAATTCCCAAGTGATCCCAATGGCCAAGCCCCAAGACTTCAGAGAACACCACTGTGCGTATGTGGTGGCCCCCAGACATGGCTTTAACCACACAAGTCCGGTGTTTTAAATACTCAGCCGGTTTGCTATGACGACGATGAGAACAGAACTGCCATTTGAACAGTGCATTGCCAATGAGAGAGAGCAAGCAGGTCAGATTCAGAGCTACTGAGGTTAGTGGAAGTTTTCTACTAATGTGGCACCCATCCAAGTTATGCTAAATAACAGCTGGTTTTCACGTGGTGAGGTTGTAGAGTTCGAGTCCCAGGACGTGCAAGTTCTAGTATATTACATTTACCAGCAAACAGCTCCAAATATACTCCGTTCCTTGGCTGACTAATTAGAGATAACACAAATGAAGAACCTATCTGGACCACTGTATGCTTTTTTTTTTGCAAACAAGCCTGGCCTGCACACTCAGCCAGCCTGTGCCACCCGTGCTCTAAACCCCAAACAACACCTGCCTAACTTCAGGGGCAGAATTAGCAGAGGACAACTGAAGCTGCTGGCCTCTCTGCTCGCCACAAAATCACCCTCTCCCAGATGCTGCAGGGAAAGCATTACAGTACCTGTTTTGAACCAGCCATCAGGCGTGAAAGCATCTTTTGTTTCTTTGGGTCTATTCCAGTATTCGCGGAATACCGAGGGCCCCTTAACGAGAAGCTCCCCTTCTTGGCCTTCTAGGCCCGGTGTCACCTAGAACAGACAAACAGTGAATGCACCCTGGGCAACGGCAGCACGCAGCCATCCCCGGCCAGCCGCGCTCGCCTCCGCCTTCGTCCCGCAGCACCGCAGCTGCCAGGCAGCACGGCTGGGCAGAAGCAAGGCTCAAGCGGCACACGCTCTTAGCCTTCGAAAGCCTCTCACTACAAACGCCATGCAGCCTGCCCACCTGCAGGACCTCTTCCCTTAGGTGGATGAGAGCTCACGTACATGCCTTCAACATTCAAAAGTGCTGAAAATACACATCTGGGTTATTTGTACACAGGAACTGCCATCCTGGAACGCAGCAGCAATCCAGATAGTTTCACACCTTCTGGGTCCTTGTAAAGGAGGGGAAAGATCTCATATACCGACAGCTGGTTGGGGAATACTCTTGGAAGAGGGACAGTCCTTTCTGACTGCTAGATGGCAAGCCCTGACACGTGCAGTCCTCATGTCCTGCTGCCTGCACCCTGCTCCCATTCGAGCACCAAGTAGCCTCTGTCAGTCTCCAGGTTGTCCCTGAGCAAATCCTTTGGGAAACCCTTCCCCACAGGAGCACAAAAGCTTCTCTGCCCCTGCTCACTGCTCCCAGAGCCTAGGCACAGTCTGAGGAGGGAGGATGTACGGAAGGCTTTAGCACACACCTTGCAGAGCAGGCATCGTGCTCTGCAATCTCCAGCCCTCCTGTTCAGGGCATCCAACAGCACAGGGAGCCCCTCTTTGGCAAGGCTGGCCTTTCCCACAGTGGAGGCTCTGCGGGGATGAATGAAAGCTAATCACAGAGCCTGGATCCTGAAAGACCTGCACATCCCAAACAACTACACGTCCTGCCCCCAGAGTGCTGCTGCCATCCAGGCCTGAATATCTAGCAGTGACAGCAGCAAGCTTGAAGGATTAGTGGATGGCTCAACCTTTGAAATAACAACTGTGGGGGATACTGGCCACCAGCTGCACCACTTGGCACTTCCAGCGACCTGCCTCTTGGCTTGGAAGCGAGGCGAACCCCTGCCCTCCCTGGAGAAGGCAGCAGAGCCAGCTCTGCAGACTGGCAGCAGGCTGCGGCCCTGGCACAGCAAAGGCAGCCCCAGATACAGAGATGTACCCAGCGCACTGTACCCTACACCACTGACTGCCCCAGGGATAGCTGCTGACAGATGTGCAATAAAACAGTAATAAAGTAAAGCCAAAACTGAGGCTTCTTAGGGAACTGCTTAACCACCTGATGCGGCTTTGGTCTCCCCAGTTCTCATACAAACACAAAAGTACCAGCATTTCTAGAGAACAAAAGTTATTACTGTCCCACAGCAGCTGGGAAACTGGATCCCGTCCTGGTGTTCACAGCACAAACACCACTTGCCCTACAAGTACTAGCCTGTTTGCAGTTTCCACAGTGATGGAGACTGTCCTCCTGCCCTTCCCAGCTGGGCTGTGCAGGTCTGGAAAGAAGCCTGTTGCAAGGTGAGAGAAAGTAGATGAAAGCAGCACATTCCTGTGAGTGTGACATTCTGCTGTGTTGATAGAGAGAAAACTTCACTTTCCAAAACTGTCAATCTAACACTTTTTTTTTTCCCCAAGGAGGTGGCAGGAAACACCATCTGATTTGCTCTCAGGCATACGTGGCTTCTTTCAGGCTCACTTGAAGGCAATGGTTACAGTGACAACTCGGTATTCTGCAAACCTGCATGGGCAAGTTTTCTATGGCAACAAAATGAATATCCTGCTGTTAAGAAAACCAGAGAATCACAGGAAGGTTACAGACTTGCCTGACATGGCATAGCATCTCATTGCTCTGGCACGCACATCACACTGTAATTATGAGGAGGCAAGCAAGGTAAGAGATGAGGCACTGGAGAGTCACGACCATAGTACTTGCTCGTGTGACGATGTTAACACAAAGTCCTTTGCAGGGAAGATATGCAAAAACAGTGTAATGATAGAAGTCACTGTGAGATTTGCTTGTACACATTACTGCACCCACCTAAGAGGATCTCCAAGCCACTTTGTACTTGAGCGGCTGCAACACAGGCAAGATACATCTGGGACCTTGAAAGTTAGTAATGCCAGAAATGCAGCCACACGGGAAAACAGTAATAGCAATCCCGGAACATCAGGCAGAATCACAGAGAAAGTCAGGCTTTGTATCTCTTTAGAGCCTTTGATGGAAGCAAAGCTTCTCTAACAGAAAACGCTCAGAAAGCTGCTTTGTAAGGTACCATTTTTGTTTTAAGTCATTTCTTCTTGATGTCCCATCTTGGAGGATATGGTGACACGGTGCTCTCTGTATACACAGCCCATATGCTTTCATGGAACTGCTGTTTCGTTAAATGCCTCAGCATATCACGAGCTGGACAGTAGCTCTAGAGTCCTTGCTGTGCCTTATCTCCACTGCCTAGAAGATGCTGCAGGATAAAAAGGTCATTAATGCTGATGACTGGAATTAGCTGAACAATGGTAAAACATGGGTGATTCTGGATGACTTTTCCCCAAGGGATCTCAGAGAGGGAGCCTGAAGACCACAAAATCCACAAGCAGGACAGCACTGAAAAATCTGGGATCTAGGAGAGCCCAGAACCAAACCTCTGTGTCCGCAAGAGCAAAAGGGCAAGAGGCACAAAGCTTCTGCCTGGCAAGTGCGTCAGAGACGCGCTGGGGTGGGCACTGTGACCCCCAAACAGAGCAGCCTGCAGAGGGGCCAGCAAGGCAGGGTTTCACTGCTGCCACAGGGACTACACGTAGTTTTACAATGTGATTATTTCTTCTCTCTTGTTTTCCTGCCAGCTTGGCCAAGGCATCACAAACAAGCAACTTCTCTGAGCAAGTCAGTGACTTTGGTGTTCCTGGTTTCAGTTTTGCCCGTTAGGTAACACAGTTCTTAAAACTTGCCAGCAACACTTCTCCTGGGGGCAGGTATTGCACTGCACTCGCGTTCCAACAAGACTAGTCCGGACCCCATCCACTCTTGAAGTACATCTCAGCTACAGATAACAGAATATCCATATTCTCCCCACATTGTAGGCATTTTAATTACTGGTGTGAGCCTCCAAAGTCTATCCCTTTAGCTGTCAGGCTGCCTTTGGCTCCGCAGAAAGGGATGGGAAAGGAGGAGGTGGTAGAGTAACCAGGACCTGCTAACAGCTGCCTCAGATTCATCTACAGCTCCTGCCAGATTTTGTCTTCTGCTTGTCGATACTAAAAGCAAGAATGGATGTAAATTTGGTTACTGCAAAATTCTTCAGGCACAGTCTGTCCAGCCCAACCTTGCACACACACTGCTGCACAGCACCAGGCAGCAGTGCCAGCTCCTGCCCCACCTGCAAAACGCTCGCTGTGCCCCAAAGGAAGGGCAGCAGAAGCAGAGCTACCTCAGGGAGCAATCCACTACGCTGTTTACCTGCGCACTGCTTTTCTTGTGCGAATCAAACCTTGAATAAGCTCCAAATTTCTTGTCATATCAACTCAAATTTTGGCAGAGGCTCAACCCACATCTTATCTAGAGCAGAGCTCCTTGGCAGCAGGCACCTCCCTGTTGTGTAATTTAATGATGTTATGGCTGGCTTGCAAACAGTAAAACAGAAAGGCCGTGACGTTATCTTAATAGGATTTTGCTTGCTGAACTCCAAATGTCACCGGCTCTGCTCCCCAGTGCAGCAAAGAGGACGCAAACCACCCCAGTGCCAGCAGCTTGTGTTGCTTGAAAACAGCATAAGTTAAAATTCCGGGTTCAAGGCATTTATCTAATACAACCTCTTGCATCTGATACCCGCTAAAATCACACATACATACCAAGCTAGCACACTGGCAACATGCTTCAAAAGCAGGCATTTTTGTGGCAGCAGTGTGGCTAGCTTGTTTGTTTCCTTACTCTCTGAAATCTCAAAGGTACCCTTTGTTGACACACTAGGGCTACGTTACAAGCAGCTGCTGAAAGAATCAGGTTGCTAATTGCACAGATATCCTATTCTTCTAGTGCCATACGTTAATGCACGTCTCAACTGCTTTAACCACGTTCTAGCAACTTTAACATACAGCCACAGCGTGCCCTGCAAGGGTGCTGTTTGATAGCTTTCTGCTGTAAAACAGATTCAGCAAACTGAGCTGGGCCAGCCGGCATACTAGATAAGATTACATTTTTCACGCATGAAAATAAAAGGTTGTAATAAATCCTTTGAAGGAATAAATCTGGGTGATTATAAAATGCATATTTTCACTGCTTCCATTTTACCTCTTTATTAGCAGGAAGCAACGGTGGTTTGTAAATAGCTGGGAATCCCCATTTGGCAAGCAGCCCTGTGATTTGTTCAAAGTGGCCATTTGTTTTCTTGCGGTCTCTGATATATGCTATCCCTCTCTCCCCTGGGAACTGCAGGAGCGGAGTTTATAATGGACTTTAATGGAATTAAGAGCTTTTATGAAGGTAGACTTACAGCAGTGCGTCTTTCACTGGAAAGCAGAAGAACCACTGGATATTCCTTAGCAGAAACATGTGGAAGACAAAGAGTGAAAGTTGAAAGGCAACGTTTGTAAGGAGAGGTAATAACTTTTTATTACATTGATAGAGTTGGGAGGAAGACAGGCAAGCTTTTAGGCTCTAAAAAAAGCCCTTCTTCAGGCTTGAAGCAGAAGCAGGACGCTGAGAATAAGATTCAGTGGAACACAGTTAACATCTAGCAGGCTTCCCCCCCAAAATATCTAATCCTCTTTCTGGAGTGAATATCAAAGGTTCAGAGGTTGCAGGTCAGAATATCTTCTCTTAGGAGGAAGCCTGACAAGAGACCTTACCACACGTGTGAAGCAGAAGAGCAGGGCAGTGCATTTGCAGAAGCCAGAGCTTGCTGGGATGGGGTGAAGTGGAAGGAGGGAGCAGGACAACGAAGGGGGATTCTTCTAGCCCTGGAAATAATGTTGGGCGATGAGAAAGAGCCAACATATGGCACGCAGGAAGCAGGGGCGATATTTTTAATCTATTTCCAAAGAGATGCTGCCTTATGCAT